GAAGCCTATAATTTCCTCCATTATTTAAGGAGCAACAAACGTACAGTAAAATTGACCCTTAATTAGCAGACTTGCAAAGCATGTCTGCTCGTTCACTACCACAGGTGGAAAGGAGCGTATTTGCAGTGGTGCATAGAACAGCTTAATACTATGCTGCTCTGGCATCCTTCCTATGAAAAACGTAGATGTACATTACTCATTTAACATAACAGAGCTTAAAACGATGTTACAGAAAACTGCAGTAGAATCAGCATTCCCTGCATTACAGCACAGCATCTCAGTGTTGCCTGACACATTTTTTTCTGCTAGTGGAAAACAAAGTCTGAGGCACTCCAAGGAGAGAGAGATTAGGGGAACAAAATATTGCAATTTCATTATCTCTTCAGGCTCATCAGTTTTGGAAAAGGAGCATTTCAGCCACCCACACAAAACTGATACTGTCTTATTTTTCTTATGCCAGAAAACTTTTGAGTCATATAAACACAGATAGCAGACAGAGCACAGAAGCCCTAAGAAAAGCAGCCTTCTTACTTAGGGTTTCTTTGCTTAAGAGCACTAATGAAATGATGCTCCTGGCCCAAATTTAACCTGCCTTCTAAACACTAAAGTGAGCCAAGTAAACCCTTCTCATGCTTTTATGTCACAAGAACATTTAACGTTGTGATTAAAAACAAAATCAATCCCCTTGGCAACCTAAAATATGCATTACCTCTCTAACAGGTGGCTCCCAGAACTAGGCAAGGCACAGCACTTCAAACTGAATCTGTAAGAAAACACTGCATAGTTTCTTATTTCCACATTTATGATCCACACAGATCATTCCAAATTGTACAAGAAAGAAATGTCTGTTTGTTTATTTATAAAAGCTTTGGTGCCATTCTCCTTCCTAAAGACTTAGGTTTACTCTTGGGGACTCTGCTCTGCAAGGCTATGGCCATCCTGGTCAGGATCCAAAGGACCACATAGCTGCATGTATAACCTTAAACATACCAAAACAAGGAGTTTAGTAAAGTCTGAATTGGTATTATATGTTCTTGATACTATAAAAATATACAACAGGAAGTAAAAGAACATTTTTCCAAGGGAACTAGAATACATTTAAAAACAACCAACCAACCAACCCTCACTAAGGCTGCATGAAATAACCAGGAAGAAAGGTCTTATGGGACTAATAGCATTAGTTAACAAAAATATCTCTCTGAAGAGAAGCCCAAAGCTATGAAGTTTTAGAAAAGAAGCATCTCTTCTGTACAGATTTTGTACAAGAAAAGAATGGCTTAATGAGAAAACATGTTACTTTAGCAACATGGAACAAAAGACTGGGGTGAGAGCAGCCAGTGCTTTGGAGCAGTGTTCCATCTACAGCAACACAGAGCCAATGGGAAAAGGATGCCATTTCACAGGCAGGGATAGCTGGAGAGCTGGGCTTAAAGGAGCTGCAGCAGAACTCTGAGTACCATCACATTTACCATGCCGTCTGATACCGAAATAAATCAATACCAAGCAGTAGCAGAAATTCAGCAGAAGACACTTGATGTCACTTAGAGTGTGCAGAAGTCATCAATCCACTGAGAAAGAAATTATTTACTGATCACTGAGTATAAATTTCTGCACAGAGCATCTGGACTGCTGTCATCAGATCGCAGTTCCACTGATCATCAGGTAAGCCCACTGATTCGATTTTGTTTCCAGCACTATTTCCAACACATAGAAAGATAGAGCACACAAAAAAATATTTTTCTGAAAGCCTCTTATTTCAACACTTAGAAAAGCACAGTCCTTAAACAAAAGCCTTCTTGCTTATATGTTTTCTTTGATGTCTCGGTAAGGCTGCCTAAATTCCAGTTTGAAATTCTGCATTCCTAGATTGATGAGAAAGATTACAGTTTGGCAACTTTCCCAAGTTTTTTTCCAGTCCATGAATAAAGCCCAGCACTGTTTTGTCCCGTATTTGTCCTGCGAATTATCCCAGCAGGCCTTCACCTGTCCTTGAAGAGATTTTGGTACTCGCACTCTCCAGAGTTTTTGTGGCATTTCTGTCAGTGCTGGTGGTTTTGTTTTGTTTTGGTCAGGGGATTTGGTTTTGATCTTTTGATTTTTTTTAAATAGGTTGCTAGTTTCCAAATAGGTTGCTAGTTTCCACAGATAATACAAGCTTAGAACATGAAAACCCACCAAACAGTGACTGCTAATCATTTTTTTTCATTATTGGACATTCCCACAGCTTATTCTCATGGTCCCTTCCCACATCGCCCACTCAGCTGCTGCTGAGCTGCCCGGTTTCATCAGATGCAGCAACATGCAAGAGCAGCCCTGATTTATAGATGTCCCTGTGGTGCAGCACGCTGTACCCTCCACATTGCCAAATGAACACTCACCATTTCACCCTATAAACCAGGACAATATATTGATACTGAAATCTTTTGTTTTGCCAAAGAAAGGTTACTTTTCCTAAACTCAGCAACTGAGTTTGTATTGCAGCCCAGCAAGCTGTTATTCCTCAAACCTCAGTTCTGCTGAAAGGGATGCTCAGGGCAGCCCATTTCACATCACTGCCAGAAGAGGAGGTCCCCCATCCCCTCTACACATGGCTACTTGCCCACTGCTTCAGTGCGGGCACTGAAGGCCAGAACAGCGAGCTGGATGAGGACATTGATACAACTGAAAAAGAAGCTATGTTGTGGAGAGAGTTTGGGGAAAACTGGATCAATTTTCCAACCTAGCTGACTGCACAGTTGTGCATGACAGGGTAGCACTGTCCCTTTCCATCACACCTTAGCTTCAGCCAGACTGAAGAGGCTGTGCCTTGAGAAGCTTAGTGATCATGACGAGTGCTTGAAGCACCAGGTATGAACTTCTGATTCTAGACCCTGCAAAGACATGGAAATAGGAAAAAAAAGATAAAAAGAAGAAGAAAAAAAAAAAGATGTAAGTGCAAATAACTTGGTGTCATCCAAACAGCTTTCCTCATTCACTCCTCATTCACTTATTTTTAAACCGAGAAGGAGAAGTCCATACCAAAGACAGCAATGATATTATATGCCTCCATATGAGACTACATATTTCTGTAAAAATCCATCACTGAAACAAGATGTCTCTCCATGACTCTTTCAGAAATACATCTTCTATTAGTTCCCACGTCTCCTTAGTTTACAACAAAAGAAGCACGGAAATGCACACTGCTTTTTAAAATTAGATGCAAATTCAGTTTACAAACTACCCAAAGTCAACTGTATCATGATTGAGTTGTTGTGACATCAACACAATGCCTTGCAGTAACTTCTAAAATGAAATTGTAGGTTCTATCATGAGGGGGAAAAGCCCCACACATCTGAATGACTTCCACTGTGAATGCTAAGCAGCTGCTCATTTGTTCAGTAAGCTTGCCATGAACATTACTCTCTTATCCAGTTATTTTTTTCCAAATCTTTGTAATTTCAGCATCTGTAAGAAATTACAGATAAGAGACAGCACTAAACAGTTTCCAGGAAAAAAAAAAAGACAAAGACAACACTGTTTTTGTGCCCAATACTGATCTTCCCAGTCCCACTTTTCCAAGGAGCAAGCCTTCTGTGGCAACAGCTCCCACTTTCTAAACACAGCCATGGTTCCTGTGTGCTTCCCTCAAATGAGAAAACATGGGTGATCTTGAAAAAAGAGAAACTATCACTGAAATTAAAGATAGGCATGATGATGTTTTGCAAGGACTGTGAACATCATAGAATCACAGAATATCCTGAGTAGGAAGGGAACCATCAAACCCAACTCCTGGCCCCACATAGCACCACCTGAACACAACCCTATGGCTGAGAGTGCTGCCCAAATGTTCTCTGAGCTCTGGCAGCTCAGGGCCATGCCCACTGCCCTCTGGAGCAAAGCCTTTCCCTCACTCCCACCTGCTCCATATGCAGCTCCAAGCATTTTCCTCTGGCCCTGTTGCTGTCACAGAGAGCAGAGCTCAGCACCGCCTCTCCACTCCCTGTGAGGAGCTGCCGGCTGCCACAAGGCCTCTCCTCAGGCTCTTCTTCTCTGGGCCGAACAAACTGAACTGCTCCTCGTGTGTGCTCCCTCTACACAGATGCATATAGCATTGAAAATGAGCAAGGGAAACTGGAATTTTTGGCCCAGTCTTAGTGTAATGATACCACAGGCTCAGGGAGACATAGCAGGACAACTCGTGCTGCTGCAGTGCCAAAACTGATGGCTCAGGCTGCTCAGCAGAGATGGGCAGGCAGGAGAAGAGCCCCTGCACTGGGGAGGTCTGGGCTGCGGGGAGCTGAGTGTGGTGTCTCTGGGGGAGGGTTGGTCAAAAGTGGCTGGAAGACCATGTGGAAGAAACAGATCTGGGGGTGTTGGTGGATGCTCAGCTGAACATGAACCAGCAGCGTGCCCAGGTGGCCAAGAAGGCCAATGCTATCTTGTATCAGAAATAGGGCAGCCAGCAGAGCAGGAGGTGATCATCCCTCTGTACTCAGCTCTGGTGAGGCTGCACCTCAAGTGCTGTGTTCGGTTTTGGGCCTCTGACTACAAGAAAGACTTTGTGGCCCTGGAACGTGTCCAGAGAAGGGCAATGGAGCTGTGCAAGTTTATGGGGAGCAGTTGAAGGAACTGGGATTGTTCAGTCTGCAGAAGAGGAGGCTCACGGGAGACCTTATTGCTCTCTACAACTTCTGGAAGGAGGTTGTGGTGAGGTGGAGGTCAGCCTCTTCTCCCACTTAACTAGAAACAGCATGAGAGGGAATGGCCTCAAGTTGCACCAGAGGTGGTTCAGGTTGGCTATTAGGAACAATTTCTTCTCCAAAAAAGCATTCAGGTTCTGGAATGCTGCCCAGGATGGGTGGTTGAGTCACTGCCCCTGGAGGCGTTCAAGAAGCATTTAGGTGTTGTAGTAAGGGATATGATTTAGTGGGGAAAAACTGGTGGTAGATGGATAGTTGGTCTAGATGAGATTGGAGCTCTTTTCCAACCCTGGCAATACTATGATTCTATGAAAAGCTCACACAAGAGATATGGTGGTGGGAGGCTGTTGCAGGTCATCCAGACAGGACGTAGCAGCTGGACTAAAAACGAAAGCAAAAACAAACAAAGAAAAAAAGATAAATTGGATTAATTTCAGGATAGATTAAATGAAGCAGAAAAACATACTAATGACTTGAAAGACTGAAGGAGCACAGCAGCAGCAAAATAACTAACAAATACCCTTTAAGGAAATTGTCTGCCTAAAAAGCTGGAGAACAAGCATAAACTTTTTAAGAGAACAGATTTAAGGCTCATAAGAAACAAGCAAGTTTCAGAAGGAAAATATGCCTTTAGATTTTTTAAAAAAGATTTGCAAACATAATGGAATTGGCACTTTCCAGATGATACTGAGAATGAGAAAGAAATCTTACTTCCAAGTCAATTCTGAAGCAAGTGGATAAAAAGAAACAGTACTTGTTTGTTGCTGATCCCAAAATTAACAAAGGCAACTACCAGCTAATGGAATAAGAAGAACGGAATCAGAAGAATCAAGCTCTTTTTACTGGCAAGTCAAACTCAGATGCTTTTCTACAACACATTTTGTCCCTATGGGGCTGAGTACAGGGATAGATGGGTGGGAATTGATGACTTGTGATACACAGTGGTCAAATTAGATAACGCAGTGGCTGCTGTGGGTGCCAAAATAAATATGAAAAGCTATGACTGCATGACTAATACCAAACAGAATGAAATTGCTGTTCTGCACTGACAGTCATTCAATATATTTGAAAATCTTATATGATCTCAAAAAAAAAAAAATAAAAATAAAAATTAACTCTCTGTATTTCTATCTCGCAAAAAAAAAACTGGCTGAAGAGCATTTTCTCATTCTTGCTGTTGTTTCTCACTCTTTCCCATCTAGCCCCAGCTGTAAATTCCAAAATACAGAGAGAACTCTGAGCACAGTGGTTCTGCAGGGAGATGGGGCACATGGAACAGCCTGTTCCAAATAACTGAAGGTTGCAGCTGTCCACCTGGAGCCACCCAGAATCTGAAAGGCCAAGAGATGGCATTAAGCCACCTTTCATAGCCTGCCAGTAGACTGTGCCTTCTGTACTCACAACAATAACGCTCAGAAATGGTTCCATTTGCCAAGCGAGGCGAGTAAGCTTTTTCATTTTCTAAGCGCTGTCATCTGCAGAAGCCAGGCCAGTGTAGCAACATCCAAATTATAGGTTAGATCCAGCTTAGACTGGAAGTTGATCTAATTAATCCAGTGCACCTTTGGGTGAAGCAACCTTGCAGGCATTGTAAGTCATCGCTCTCAGAGGTTCTGTGCTCTCTTATTCTGTGTCTGTTCTACTGATCTCACACCTTATTTTTCCTACTCTTTTGATCTTCTCTCTCTTTTGAGCCTTCCCCACACTTTTTATCTTCCAGGCCAGGCTGGATGTGGCTCTGGGCAGCCTGGTCTGCTGGTAGGTGACCCTGCACGTAGCAGGGGGCTGGAACTGGATGGTCATTGTGGTCCTTTTCAACTCAGACCATTCTATGATTCTATGGTCCTCTTCCACCCTTGCTAATTCTTCCTTTACAAAGCTGAAGCTTTTATTCCTCTGGACTCCTGTTTCCTAGAAGGAGGTCACCATTCTGGTTTGGTAACATTTTGTGTCTATCCGTGTAACACAGTATGAATAATGGGATGCTTAGGGCAGCCAGGAACCAATACTTACATACGCCAAGAGCTTTGCGTTTAGCACAAGCAGTAGCACTTACTGTATTAATCCATGCAAATGGCAACGGCTATCACAGAGATCGCACCAAAAGCTTCCAGGGGTAGCAGACGACTTTCCAAGCGGGTAACGAAGATGAATTCCGGGCTTACGGGTGCAGCAGCGGCACTTTAGCTGCCGCTCCTTTCTCAGCAGAGGTTCGCAGCACCTTCAGCAGCGCTGACCGAACGTCAGGGCAGCCGCACGCAAACCGTCCTCACCGCTGCGCGCCTCCGCGGGGCACTGCCGGCATCCCCCTGCGCCCGCCTAACAGCATCGGTAACCATAGCAACCTCAACTCCTTCCGCCATTGGCAGGCTCGGCCCGACGCGTCAACCAATCCCCCGCCGCCCCGCCTCGAGTCGGCCCAATAGGAGCGAGGCGGGGGGCGGGGCGGCGCCTGACGTACGGCGGGGAGGCGGAGCGCGGCCAGGCGGAGCGGGCGGCGGCGCCACCACCGCTACTGCCGCCGCCACCATGGAGACCCCGGGCTAGGGCCCGCCGCGGCTGAGGGGGCGGCCGCGCCCGCCGCCCCCCGCCCGGCTCCGTCCGTCGCAGCGCGGAGCCCCGAGGCCCTGGGCGGGCGCTGAGGCGGAGCGCCGCGGGCACGTGCGGGCGTTGGGCGCCATCTGAGCGCGGCGCCGCGTGCGGACCTTTGCGCCGGGATGGAGGGCCGGCCGAAAGGTGTGGTCGGCTCTGCGCTAGCGCTGCATGCTTCGGTGACGTTTCGGCGTTCTCTCTCTGTGTCGGTTTTCCTTTTTTTTTTTTTTTAGGGGCGATTTGCACTTTAGAGGTCAAGAGAACGCGGCGGTAGTTACGGTTTCCCCTTCGGCTGCTGCCGTTCTGCTGCCAGCCGGGGTCCGTCCTTGCTGCTCGGGGAGCGGCTGTCCGTGGGTCCTGGTTAAGCGTGGGCCTTCTCCGACCGGGATGTCTTTTTTCCTTCTGTCTTGTGAGATGTTGTAGGCAAGTAGTGGGGTCGGTAATGGAAGTCCTGCTGTAAAACACAGCAGGTTGCGTATTCCCCTGTAAGCAGGCAGCACTCGGAATCGCAGAAACACCGTGGTTGGAAAAGACCTACAAGATCATCCAGTCCAACCAAGTCTTCCTAATTCTTCTGAGGGCATGTGTGTGTGCGTACGATAGCATGGAAAGGAAAAGCTGAAAGCTGTGCTGTTGATTGCTATTATTATGTGCTTTAATAATAGTGTGCAGGATCCTGTTATAATAGATGAGCAAGTTCAGTAAGGCAGCTTTAACAAGGAGAGCAGTCTGATGTGTTATTTTGCTCCTAGCAGCTTCATTTACCAGCAGGGCATCAGCACAGTGTGTTTTGAGTTATCTCGTAGGTTGAACGTTCATGTGTGCTTTGTGAAAATGCCGGTGGCCTTCAGTAGTGAGTGGTGTCGAGTGGTCAGTGCTGGCAATAGGCAGGCATTGTGCAGGGGCTGCTCTGTGTTCCCACTGGTGGGAAGCATAAATAAGCATTCTCTGCGTCTCTGCTTCGCTTTATGTTGTTGTTAAAATATACACACAGAGGTTGGATGGCTACAGTAACTTCAGCAACTTTGAACGGCTTTGTGAGTACTGCCTTGATTTTGTTTGGCTTTATTTATTTATTTATTTATTTATCAGTTGTGCTGAAAATTAGCAATTTCTGCAAGTGTTTCTCTAGTTGTTTCTTTATTGGGTGCAAGAAAGCACCTGTTCCAGGGTGAGCAGGAAGAGGCTGTTGCTACAAGCGTGAACAACGGTTGGGTTTGTTACCAGAATACAGTGATATCACTGTGATGCCATGTAGAAAAGTCTCCTGAAAAGCAGGCGTAGCTCTTGGTGCTTGAGGAGAGGTCCTTGTGAGCCTGATGTCAGCTGTGTTTTGCACCGCTCTCATCTCCCATTTGTGTTCTTAGTATTTTCAATCAAGTCAGTGTCCAGCTTAGCACCTGTGTGTACCAGAAGCTTCTCTCGGATTCCTCCCAGGGCCCTGGGAGCAGAGCAGCCCTGGGGCGATGAGGCCCGGTGTCACCTGCTGTGCCGGGGTGCTGCTCTGAACCTAAGGGTGGCTCTGGCTGTGCCCTGCGGTGAAGGACTGCTGGAAAGGTGAGCTGGGAACAGCATCAGGAACAGTAATGTTTGATGGGAAACATCTTTTAAGAGTTACTGCAGAAAAAGTGCTTTGTTGCCATGTATAAAAAGCACTGTGCATCTCTGTGATTAACTCCTGCTGCAGTGGCTCCAACTTCCAATTTTCAGGAGTGTTTGCCTTAGTTTCTGATTTTCTTTCTTTTTTTTCTTTAATTCCTCCCTTTCCATGACCCGCACTGCAAATAAGATAGCAACTCCCTATGGACTGGATGTGAGCTGTCACTCCAAGAGAAATGGGAACTGCTTTGAGGCTTACTGGCAGTGTGGAGCTGAGCGAGCACGGCTGTGTGTGTATGGAGCTGGGGAGCTGAGTGTGACACGGTGTGGGCACGGCTCGTGGCGCTGCTCTGCTGCTCTGCCATGCCCTGAGTGCTGCTGGCAGGGAGTGGCTGGGGCACAGCACAGAGGGCTGCGGGTTGGTTTCTGCTGCTAGCAGCCTTGTTGGCGCTGAGGTGCATGGAATGATGACCTCCAGTGCCCTCCTGTGCAGCAGAACGTCCGCCTGTTCTTTTTTGGGTGAAGCTCACAGAAGGAGCGGGGGGCGATGAGGGCAGCCAGGAGCTGCCCCCGGTCACCTTCCAGGGCTGTGGTGTGAGCAGAAGCAAAGCACGGCCTCATGTCAGCTGCGTCCAGCTTTGGCCTCTGGGCCTCAGCTCCTCTCCCACTGGCTGTCTCTTCGTCTTCGCCCTTAGCGGCTCACTCCTTCCCCCAAGGAAGGGGAGCCACGTGCTACTCGGGAAGAGGGAAGTACCGCTTCATTTTGAGTCGACTGATGTGATGTTTTTGTTGTTGTTTCGTTCACTCGTTTCATTTCGAGTAACGAAGGCCCCGAAACTATCACCAAAAGGACAGGCTTAAGGTGGAAGCTCCCTCCGCGGCAACTGGCAGCCCTTCGGCTGCACTCCAGGGCCCGGAGCGCAGTGCGCACCGTGTGCCCGGGCTGGGGCAGGTGACGTGCAGCTCCCGCTCTGAGTCAGCTCCTGCCGAAGGGCCGCGGCTCCAACCAGTCGGGCCGGTTTGCTGCGGCTGCCGGGAGCCGTGGTTGGAGCGAGCCGAGGGGAGCTCACTGCCGCCTTTGCCTTCCCCGGCCTCGTTGCTTCCCCCTCTTACAGGAGAAGGAAGGCAGTAGCACGTTAGGGAAAGTCAGAAAGCGTTTTTAAACAAGATGGCTTTTAAACAATTTTGTTGTTGTTTTTGTTTGTTTCTAAGTTCAGATACATTTGATGTGCACGCATCTTTTTCCCTATTATTGTTTTCTTCCCTCCAAACAGAAGAGCTAAATAAACTACTCCTATCACTTTCTGTAGTTACGGAAGGAAAAAATACCTAAATACTGTTCTTTCTCCAAAATGTCTCCATGGTCATCTCTCATGGATCTTCCCACCCCTCGTTCTTTATTTTGCATAGCACAGGAAAGCGCAGACCAGCCAACCTTGTGCTAATTGGCTTTTTCAGTCAGTGTAACTATGCCTTTATTTTAGTGCACAGAATAAAACTATGAGATATTACTTTCTGAAAGGGATTGATCCATTCTTTAAGAAGAACTGAAGTTAACTCCTCTTCTCCTCTCCCCTTAGTGGGATCTGTTCGTTATATGAGACGTTACCTGGGTGCTTTAACTGAAACATAGTGAGTTTCTGTGAACCTTAAATCAAAACCGTAGCTCACCTAATTCTGATCAGTATTGTGGTTTGTTATTAAAGGGAGGAAAGAAATTTGTTGTAAGTCCTTTGAAGACGTACGAGCTGAAACTTGTTGTCTGCATCACAGCTCAATGGGGGGATTTTTAATGTAGTTACTGTTTATGCAACCATAGGCTAATAATTATGGGCAGTGAGTAAAATTTACCCTGTAGCTATTGGATCCGCGAAGCAAAAGCTTGATAGATACTGTGTAGGCTGTATAATTGGCCAGCCTTTGCTGCTTGTCGTATTCGTAAATAGGAGCTCAGAGCACCTCTCCCTTCCCTTAGCAGTGATTTGCATCGGAGCGCTCGGTGGGAGAGCTCTGCGGCGCTCCCTTGGAGTGCCCGTGTCTGTCAGCTGGCAGCAGCTCAGGATCCACCACGGCAGTCTGCACAGCCTCAGGTGGGTCAGTGAGCGGCCTGCGCTTAGCTGGAGCCAGCTGCAGGACGGGAGCAGGGGAGAGCCGCCGAAGGCAGGAAGGTAGGGCTGCTTGGTTCTGTGCCAAGCAGGGTCAGAGGTGGCAGAGGTCAGGGGAAGGGAGGAGCCGTGCTGCACGGTGCCAGGCATTGCTGTTTGCTCAGGAGATGTTCAGCTATGAAGAAACAGGGAAGCTGTTGGGGGGGAAAAAAGTTAGGTTTCTGCTTGCCTGCGTGCAAATGCTCTCAACAAATCTTATTCTCAACAAAACCTCGTTACAGCACGTAAGTGGTCTGAAAAGCCTTAGGCTATCACTATGCTATACTTAAAATAAAAAAAGGTGCTCAAAAACATTTGCTTTATATGTGTTCAAATAGAAATTATCTGTATCTCAATTGACACTGTTTGTTTATGCCATCTCTGCCGGAAAGATGATGTGAACAGGAGACTTTCCATTTGTTGTCGATTGCTGTTCTTTTCCTGCAAATAAATAAATAAACAAAAGGCTGCAGCCTTCCTCAAGGAAATCTTTTCATTTCTGAGCAACGTGGTCTGCATCATCTCGCATTGGCAGTTTTGTTATCATGGAACACGTGAATTGAGTTTTTGTGTCTTTGTGTATCACAAAGGTAAATCTTAATGGTGAAAACTAATAAACTTGTAATCATTTCTGCTAGCCTGTTCCTGTGCAACACAGCATACTAAGTTCTTTCATATATGGGAGTATAAAGATGCAAAATAAAACAAACCCACCAATCTCTGAAAGAATTTGAGACCAGTGACAGCTCCTTGAATTCCATTTCATTGTGATATGCTTAAAGATGAAAGTATTTTGTATCTTTCACAAAAAAAAAAAAAAGAAAACAAAATATTGTATGTCATTCCAGTTGATTTCGAGGGCTTCCAAACAAGTGAATCACTGGAGGAGTTCTGTGTACAGAAGTATTGTAAACACATGGCACCATTCACCAATTGTCTTTTGTAGATTCCTACTCAAGTCTTGTACAGTATCTAAAGATAAATGTGGGGATGGCTCTTAGAGCTAATGTTTCTGCTTTGTTGTTCTTTGGAAACAAAACCACCAGACTTTGTTGTTGAGATAT